TCCCTATTTCCTTTCACTAAGAACTTTGGATACCTTCATCTTATTTCTGATATTGTGACAAAAACTTTCAGTCTTTTACCATTAAGTAGAAAGTTAACTGTGGGATTTTTCTTTTCTTTTTTTTTTTAAATTTTTTGAGAGGTTTTTGCTAGAGGGCGTGTGTGCTTGCCAGAAAGACAGTGAGAGAAAGAGACTGTGAAATAAAAGTATCCTTTTAAAAAAAGAATTATTTTATTTAACTTTATTTATTTAAATTTGACCAGAGAGGGACAGAGTGAGAGAGAGAGTGGAAAGGTGAGACAGTAGGCTGCCAGGTCCGGGACTTGGACCACGGTAGGCCATGTCAGAATCTAGCGCCCTTAACCATCATGCAACCTGCTGGCCCCAAAGCTATCCTTTTTAATGTTTCTTAGACATTAGTAGATTCAGAGCTTTCAGGTATTCCCAGAACAACTTTAACTCTATCAACAATTTAAAGCATTAATTGCTTCTGTCAATGTATTGAGTAACATTATATATTGTTTCTTGAGAAAAATGTATGTATAATGTTGAAGTGCATGGAAGCAAACTTTTAGAATGTACAACTTTAAAAGATGAATATTTCTTATTTACTGATGTAAAGCTTGACCTGAAATTGGAAGCTTTCTACAAATTCTGCAACATTAGTTACTTTACGATCTAATCTGCTTTTTGCTTTTTCTCAGTTTAAGGCCAAACCTCCTGCTGTGACTTTTCGACTAACTGGAGAGACAGATGACATATTTAAGATACAATCAGATGGACTTCTATATCACGTCAGAGCTCTGGACAGGGAAACAAGAGCTACTCATAATCTCCAGGTGATTGAGACTGGACAAAAGGATCTAAGTCCAATTGCTCCAGGCCCCCTTTGTCCTAGAAGCATTACTGGCACCTTTATCCCTTGTATAGAATCCTGTAACAGCTTTCCTAACATTAATGGCACGCTTTTTGAACCTCACATGTCTGTTTTTTACTGACTATACAGGGGCATGGCAAAAGCACCCTCTTCTTAGGTTTTTTGACAAGAGAAACCCAATTTATATTGCCAAGACCCTCAGACAGCACTGCTCATCCTAGTGAGGCCAGGCTCAGGCACCTGGGCCCAAACCAAGCCAATGGTTCTTTGATACTTCACTGGTATCTGCCTATGGTTATTGCATGGGCTCTTGTCCCCAGTGAAGGCAGCCTCAGTTCTGGGATGGAGCTTCTTTGGGTCTTGGAAGGAGCAGAAGGAACCAGTGTTCAGAGGCTGACTGAAAAGATCCTTCTCTCTTTTTCCATGGTTGGGATCTGAATACCTAGTTATGGCAGAGAGCTAACCCTGGGGGAAAAATGGAGCAAGTTCAGCGCTTCCTGTTGGTACCTTCTGTTAACAGCTCTCTTAGCTGACTATGCTAACTAATAAGAGGACATGGCACTTCCATAGTCTCAAGGGGCAGTATAATCATTTCACTAACTTCTACCCTTTAGAATGGAAGCATGTCCAGTGTCCAGCAGGCTCTACTGCTGGAAACTCAGTCATGATTGGCTAGGATTCACTGATAAGGCTCCTATTTTGGCAACTCCCAATTTGGGCTTTTGTTGGTTCTTTCTCTTCTATAGTCAACAGGCTATTGGTTCTTGAGCTCTAATTTCCCTCAAGTGACTTTTGGATTTAATGTGGAGTCTAGTATCACCAAGGTGTTTTTCTTTAATCTCAGGTTGCAGCTCTTGATGCTCGTGGAACTACAGTGGAGGGCCCAGTCCCCATCATTATAGAAGTGAAGGACATCAATGACAACCGACCCCAGTTTCTCCAGAAAAAGTATGAAGGCTCAGTAAGGCAGAATTCTCGCCCAGGTAATAAGCAAGTGTCTGGAGATGTTTATGGAAAGATAGAAGGATATCACGTAGAAGGGACATACATGTGGCTCATAGCTATAGCTACCACTCTTTCTTATTGAAATCAATAAGCTACCATTGATTCTTACTGAAATTTCACACAGATCTTCTCTGCATTTTTTATGCTCTTTATTGAACTAGGGCAGAGTTTCTTGACCTTGGCACTATTGACATCTTGGGCCTGATAGTATTTTTTTTTTTGTCAGCAGTTATTCTGCATATTGTAGGATGTTTGACAGCATTCTTGACCTCTACTCAGTAGATGACAATAACACAACCCCCTACCACCTCCCCTCTTCCTGCACTTCAAGTTGTGAACAATAAAAAACATCTTCAGACATTGCTGAATGTCCTTTGTGGGGAAAAATCAATCCCAGTTGAGAAACATATTTCTAGGGTGAACTTTAAAACTTTAGAACTCTAGGACACCCTAGAACATTCTGGAAAGGTAAACTCAATCTCCCATATCCTCTTAAGAACTTACATTATCATAGTCACAATTGGTTCCCAGTTCTTTTTTTTTTTTCCCTTACCTACATCCTACTCCCAGCTATGGCTCATCCCCCTCTACACTGCATTGATCTTTGACTCTATTTCCACAAAGGTTAAGGCATCAGTGTGTGTAGCAGGTACCTATGAGGGAGCAGCACGTCATATCAGGGCACAGAGCAAAAACAAGGCTTAGACATCTGAGTTCTCAGAGAGGTCCTTGGCCATTTCCATTAACTCACCATCAAGCTTCCCTTTATGTTGCTTAATCTTCTCCCTCTCTCAGTCTTCAATTCCCACTTCCAATGATTCAGGGAAAATAGTTCCTTCCACTTTATTGTGTGAAGAAATTTCACAGTCTCTGTCCTTACGGTTGTATATGGGGAGCTCATTCAACTGTGCTCAATAAGAATCCTTCAGGCCTTACCTTTTTTCTCTTTACCAATAAAATCATTTAAAGAAGTGGTTCTTATAGTTTTTAGTCTCAGGACTCCTTTTATGTTTTCTCATAAAAATTATCAAGGATTCCAAAGAGCTTTTAGACATGTAGGTGTTCTGGCAAATGTTTCTCTTGTGAGGTGGGAGGGAAAACTCTGAATTGGAGCATTTGCCAATTTTCTGATTCCTATCATGGCCTATTTCAAGCTACCAATAGTGTTAACAAATGATTCAGAAAACTTCCGAAAATTCAACAGTTGACTCCCACAAGTTGGCTATAGTACACTACTGGTTGTGTCTATAAATATTTGCTATATTAGAAATTAAAATTGTGAAATTAAACAATATTAATTTATTTAACATAATCTAATAAATGTAGATTAATGACAGATAGCTATTTTCAAGATAAAAATAATTTAGTGAAAAGAATGATATTGTTTTAATCTCTGCAACCCTTTTCTTTTTTTTTTTTTTCAGAAGTTTTTGCCTTAGAGCATGTGCACTCCCTGGAGAGAGAGAGACAGTGAGAGGGAAAATGAGAAATTATTATTTTGAAATATTTATTTCAATGTGTAATCTGAAACTGCATTAATGATGTGTTTTGTGACCCTTTTACTAAAATCCATTCAATTTTCTTGTACTTCTAATGGCTCCTTTACAGATACCTATATTTAAAATAGATCATTTGAACTCTTAGACTGATTCCACAGATCCTTTTAAATAGTCTCAGAGAAACCCAGAGGTCCCTGGACCATACTTTGAGAAATCTTATCTTAAAGAAAGAGAGCAGAATAAAGATTTATTTCCTCACAAATATGAGCATGGTACCTTCTTCCCTTTTATATATGCTGCTTAGAAGGCACAGGTAGCTGTGGTTGGTTCGGGTCTTAATTAACATTTTCCCCCTGGTACATTTTATTAAACAGGAAAGCCCTTCATGTATGTCAATGCCACAGACCTGGATGATCCAAACACCCCCAATGGCCAGCTCTTTTATCAAATTGTCATACAGCTTCCCACAATCAACAATGTTATGTACTTTCAGATCAACAATAAAACGGGAGCAATCTCACTTACCCGAGAAGGTAAGTTAAGGGATATCCTAATAGAATGATCTGAATTAGAAAAGAGGGTTTCAATCTGCCTTGTTCAGAGATATTTTCTTTTCTCCCTTACTTCCCACAGGATCTAAGGAGTTGGATCCTGCTAAGAATCCCTCCTACAATCTGGTGATCTCAGTGAAGGACATGGGAGGCCAGAATGAGAATTCCTTCAGTGATACCACATCTGTAGATATTATGGTGAAGGAGAATATCTGGAAAGCACCTGAACCTGTGGAGATTATAGAAAACTCAACTGATCCTCACCCTATCAAAATCACTCAGGTAGAGTCTGAATTTACTAAATAAATGACCCTACTTTGGAGACACCCGCCCTTATGTTTTTCACTGATGCATTTATTAGATATGTTTTTGCATAGCATAATTATAATACAAATTGGTCTCTGGCCCCATGTCTTGAAATTAATTTAACATCGTAGGCAAAAAGTATGGACTCGGGCATATGTAAATTTTACTCATCCTTACCTTAAACGTAGACACCAGTGATATTTGTCATTTCCTGTTAGTAGTGTGGGATATAGCTACCTGTGAGTGAGTTGTATACAGTATACAAATTATGTACATGGTTTGAATTTGGGGTTGCAAATATTTTTTGAAAGGCTGCTGATTATTTTTTTGGGAAAAATATCTACCCCAAAGAGGCTGAGGGACAAAGATGGGACTGGTCAAAGGTAATAGAGTTCTAAGTAGGCAAAGTTTCCCTTTGGAGGACCTTCCCATTCCATTCTGGGTGCGCCTTTCCCTTCCATTCAAATACCTGCCCTTCCCTGCCTCTGTGACTTGTGTCCCCTCTTTTTAACTCCTGAAAAGTCCTCCCTGGACTCTATCCAGTTCTGATCTTTCCTGGAAGTCCAGGAGGGTTCCTTGACATGAAAACCATGAGTTAGTGTGAAATCTCTCTTATTCCATTACTTTAATGATAGTGAACAAGTCATTTAACTATTCTAAGCCCCAATTTCTCATCAATACAAGGAGGTGAATAACACCTCTCGGTGTTGTTGTGACAATTAACTAAGGTAATATCTGTGAAAGTTGATAGAAGATGAAATTAGAATGAAGAAGTAGCAATCTGTAGTCCCCTTCCTTTTTTTAAAAAAATGATGCTATTATTAAGGGACCTTGGAATGGGCTATACCATCATACCTATTGTTTATCTTAAAGGGACTTTCATTTATAGAATGTTGAATTGGTGAAATTCATCTTTAAGAGAGAAAAAGAGGGGTAGAATGAAATAAAGAGTTGTTTTTGATGGCTAAGGAAACATGTAAGCACTCAACATGTACTCTATGGAGTACTAGTCAGTCATAAAAAATAACAGGACCCTGAAATTTGATAGAAAGTGGTCAAATATAGAATATTTATTGCTAAGTGAAGCAAGTGAGTCTAGAAAAAAAAGATATTGTATGTTTCCACTTAATATATACTGACTGGCAGTTGCTACCTAGCAACCTGCCCATCCAAAAGTCTTTTGGGCATACTGCTTTTCTAAAATCTTTCTTTTTCTTGGGACCAGCAGTTGGTATAATGGCTATGTTGCTGGACTCCCATGTAGTCAACTGGACCGCGTGGCTTAAACTCATGCTGGGCATGTGTACATGCATGCCCAAGATCCCAAGAGGAGAATAGAGGAGAGGGGATTGTGATGTGGCCATTTCCCCTAGGGGGTGATTTCTTGCTTTCAATCTCTCTCTGTTTCTGACGAGTGCATGCACCCTAAGCAAAAAAAACCTCTCTCTCTCAAAAAAAATTCTTTTTCTACCTAAGAAAAAAAAAGAATGTCAGGTTCGAGGCCTAGAGTCTTCCTGTTTGTTTCTCATATTGTCCCCATAGAAATTTATAAATGCTAAAAAAGAGCACATATGCTTAGTTGCTCTTGGGGCTGTCAAAGACAAGAAATTCTGGGTGCCATACTCAATTTCCAGACCTATAGAAAGGGTTTTGGATGTCCTGAAACCCTGTAAAAAGAGTGGAGAGAGCAGAGCTCAAGAAAAAGAATCCAGGTTGAATTTTTATGACATAAGAAAGCTTATTTTAAAATAAAAAATCGTCTTTGGCATGGACATCAGGTGGTACGTTAAAATGAGGGGGTCTTCAAAAAGTTCATGTAAAATACATAATTATAAAAAATCATGCAAGGATTTCAAAATTTTCTACACTAAAATAAACTCATACCTTAATTCTGTTTTTCCATTAACTTTTGTAAGTATCTTTATAACGGGAAAGGAGCATTGTTTCCTTGAAACTTTCTAAAGCTAATCTGAGCAAATAGTTTAATGTGGAAATCTCAAATAGCCGTAGGAACTTGGGTAAATCACTTAAGTTTTTTGTGCCCAAGGTTCCTCTTTTATAAAATGGGATGTTTTATAAAAGTGAAAGTGTTTAGAATTGTGTCTGACCTGTGGTAAAGCCTCAACAAATGCTAGTATTAGGAGTAGAATATCAGAGAGGCCAGGCTCTGTCAATATAGCAAGGAAACTGGTCTTACTGTTGAGTTTATTTTTTTCCCAGGTTGTTTACAAAACCACTCTATGAGCTGACAGTTATTCTCATCCCTGAAGTCTTTTAAGACTAAATGTTTAGGGAAGGAATGTGCTTTATGTATCATTCATCTCAGTTAATAATGGAAAAGATTTTACAGTGTCTCGTATTGCTCTTATCCATCTTCATTGGTTAGTTTTAGAAGCTGATCATACATCATGACTTAGTCCTCAGACAATGCCAGCTACAAAGTACATTTTGTTTCTTAAATTGATGTTTCATGGATATGAAGCCTTTATGGCCAGACTTTCAAAATAAAACAATCCACAAACTCTGTAGAGGGTTCACAAAGAATTGCTTTAGAGAAGAAAAATTCCCTGGTGTGCCTGTTTTGAGCAACTTTTTTTTTTTTTTAAAGAAAAGGACTATTTTAGGTTGAAAATGAAAAATGTAACTCATTTGTTTCAGGAAACCAAAGACATATAAATAAGGCTGTGAGAAATTTCAAATTGAGAACCAGAAAGTTGTTTATTTTCTTTCCAGTTCTCTTGGTCCAAATGTATCTTTCCTCAAAATGCACTTTGGACTCTGTAGGTGCGGTGGAATGACCCAGGCGCACGGTATTTCTTAGTTGACAAAGAGAAGCTGCCAAGTTTCCCATTTTCAATTGACCAGGAAGGAGATATTTATGTGACCCGGCCCTTGGACCGAGAAGAAAAGAATTCAGTGAGTAAAATGGGAAGAGTTTCACGGGCGACAAGACAAAAGTCTATGCCCATCTATAGTTGGGCAAAGTCAATTTTATTGTACTAAAGAAAAAAATCTAGAGTTGGGCATGGCGTGTGTAACTACCCAGCTGGGAGGAAGAGGCAGGAAAATCATGACCTAGTAAGATCCTGTCCTTAAAAAAACTACTGTGTTTTGGATCTCCATAAGTTATTGGCTCTCAAAGAGAGCCATTGAATATTTTTGCTAATCTGACTCATTTTTCTCTTTCTTTTTTTATATACAAGTCCTAAGTAAATTCAAACTAAAGAGGTGAATAAAATAGAAATGAAAACATTTTCTGTGCCTTTTAGAGAGGGCAGTGAAGGGGTCTTATCTCACTAAATCTGACCTTCCTGTTGTAGTATGTCTTTTATGCGATTACAAAGGATGAACTTGGACTACCATTTTCGTACCCACTGGAAATTCGTGTGAAAGTTAAAGATATTAATGATAATCCACCTACATGTCCACCTACAGTGACTGTACTTGAGGTCCAGGAGAATGAACCACTGGGTAAGAAATGAGAGCTGTTCAGTGCTTTAAAATGTGTTCCCTGTGTAACTCTGCAGTCTCTTTTTCTCTCTGTTGGGTAAAAGGCGGGCAGGTAGATCTAACTGGAGGTCGATTGTCCATCTAGCATATCACAGAGGTTGAACGCCTTGGGAGTCACACAGGAACAGCATTTTGGATCAGACAATACATGGGTAGTCTTAAACTGGAGCTTTTATAACTACCACCACCACTAATACCACTATTATTCCTCCTGTCACCATTACTGCAAGCACCATAATTATCTATACCAGTATCCTATATAAAGGTATATTTAATTTTCAGTATTTTCTTATTATTTTATCTGATTTCTATTAAGTTCACTAAAAGTGATAAAATTTCATTAAATTGCTAAATAATTTAAATAAATGTTTACACCTGAAGTCAGATACCCTGCAATAAATAAGCAATACCCATAGAAACTAACTTTTGATCCCTGAGCTCCCCTCTCTAGGAAACCAATAGTAATTCAGAAGGTTGGTAGAGGAAATTCAAGTCCCATCTAGTTTTATCCTTTTCATCTGAACTTGCTACATTTTCATTTACTATATCTCTTGATAGTTTTAGTTTTATATAGGAACAATTATTGGGTCATGGTAAAAGTCATGATATATTTTTCTATGCAAAGATGTGTCATGACTTTTCTGACAGCCTAATATATAAGAACATTATGATTTCTGGGAGTTTATAATTTCCCTGGAGGTGGAACAACCCATATCTATTTCCTCCTTGGTGTTGAGCCTATTGAACGAACAGACTGGCGTTTCTTGAAATTTCTCTGTTGTGCTCTGTGCATTTCAGAAGATTCTTTGCTGAACAACCTCTTACTACTATCATTTCTAGGGCTTCACTACCCTTGTGGGAAGATGTCTATGCCTTGCGAACATTCTTATCATTTTCTTTTGATCTTTCTACCCTCTGCTGCATACCTTTAACACAGTGGGTGCTTTCCTGGTAGCTTGGTGGTAATGCATGGGTGGCTCACTTGTTCTATGCTCATTTTTTTTCTTCTTCTTGATGTCAGGCATCATATGTCGGCTACTTGTTAATGTGTTCTGCTCAGGTTTCCTCTCTTTAATTTATTCCAACTCTCGCCACAACAGGAAGAGTTGAATGACAGCCTGAGGACTTCAGTTAATTTATAAGAAGAATCTTCTCAGAGTGATAATTGTGTAACAGTAGAATGTGTAACAGTAGCCAACAAACACTTGTGGGATCCCCCTTTTGGAAACTTAGGGTGATCTGTGATGCTGAATGCAGACAATCTCTGAAGGCCTTTCTAGATGATACCTCAAGTCTTCTTCGCATTGGGCTGGACATTTAGTGTATTCATCATCAATTGCTATGTAACAAATTGTCCTGAAACTTAATAGCTTAGAACAATAAATATTTATTATCTCACAGGTTCTGTGATCAGGTGCAGTTCAGCTGGGTGCCTCTAATTCAGAGTGAAAGCTCTGAGGAAGAGAGAAGGTGAGAAGTGACAGGAAAGATAGATGGTCATAGTCTCTCTCTCTTTCATTAAAAAATGTAAATAGCTCTTTTTATTTATTTACTTATTTTTTATTTTTATTTATTTATTTACATTCATTCACTATACATCATTACAACATACAAAATGAGATTTCCCATCCAGAATACACTGTATATTGGCTCATTCAAGCACATCAACTTATGTGTTATCATCAACAAATAATTTTCTATTTCTTGTTTCCTGTATATTTTACTTTTTTTTGCCATCCTTGATTCCCTATCTCTCACCCTCTGCTGTGTTCCACCCTCCTCCCACACTATCTCTGGTATCCATGGTTGCTTTCTATGTCTTTTCTCCCCATTTTATTGACTTGCTAATGAACTTGATCTAAATATTTCCAATATCAAGCACAACTGAGATATACATATCTATGAACACAAGTCTGACTGTAGGCATAAACCTCAGTAAGAGGAATGAACATACTATACAGTAGCACCTAGCTGGGACTATATAACTTACAGCAGTCATCAAATATGCATTGTTTTTAATTTCAAGAAAAACAGTTTTTGTGTGTTTTTTTTTCCTGAAATTTTTTTAAAAATTAATTAATTTACATCCATCACCTAAGCATCGTCACAACATACAAAATGTGGTTTCTCATCCCGAATATACTGTATAGTGGCTTAATTATGCATGTTATCAATAATTTTCCATTTCTAGTTTCATGTATATATATTTATATATATTTACCCTTATGTCTGATCCTCTGCCCTTTCCCACCCTCTTCTCACACTATCTCTGCTGCCTACAATTGTCTTCCATTCCTTTCCCCCCCACATTTTATTGATCACACACTTTCTTAAAAAATCTAACTACTTTCAATAGCAAGTTCAGCTGGTAATTTCAAGAAAAGCAGTTTTGAATTGGTAAGGAAATTTGCTTAAAACTTAAAGCCTGGAAACAGGTTAGTATTCTGTTTAAATAGTAGCTACATGAACCTATTGACAGCTCAAGACAGGACAAAAACTCTTAAAATCAGATAACAAAGCCTAGAATAAAAGCAACAATATTTTAGTCAAAAGTCACAAAATGCTATTTCACCAGTTCAGTCTCATGTACTTAATGTATCTTCTGTTGTGGTTCGATCTTCCTGATTGAATTCTGGGATATAATATTCATCTCCAGACTTGTCCCTACAATTAAGTTGGCCATTTTCTTAGTTTATGAACTCTCATTTCTGTGTGTCTGCATTTAATTTTCCTGGTATAGCACTCCCTTAAGAAATTCTGGGAGATCCGGTCTGGTGTAGGTAAATTCTTTCAGGTTTTGTTTATCTGAGAATGTTCTTGTCTTATCTTCCCATATGAAGGATAATCTTGCCGAGTACAATACTCTTGGTTGAAATTACTTTTCCCTTAACACTTTGAATTATTTTCCCATTCTTTCCTCATTTGCATTGTTTCCAATGAGAGGTCTGCTGTTAGTCTGATGGGATATCCTTTGTAGGTAACTTGCCATTTCTTTCTTGCCAATCTTAGTATCTTGTCTTTGTCTGTGGTTTTGGTCAGTCTGGCTATAATGTGTCTTGGGGGTCCTTTGTATTTCTTGGGTCTGGATCTTTTATTTATTTATTTATAAATGATCATTGTAATCTATGCAGAAAAAGCATTGGACAAAATACATCCTTTCATGATTAAGAATTTTAGCAAAATCAGCATAGAAGGGTCATTTCTCAACACAATAAAAGCCATCTATGAAAAACCTATAGCTAACATTATACTAAATGGGGAAAAGCTGGAAGATTTTCACTAAAATCTGGTATAAAACAAGGCTGCCCACTTTCTCCACTCCTTTTCTTTTTTTAAATTTAAATTTATTTATTTACGTTCATTCACTGTACATCATTACAACATACAAAATAAGATTTTCCATCCAGAGTACACTGTATATTGTCTCAATCAAGCACATCAACATACATGTTATTGTCAACAAATAATTTTCCATTTCTTGTTTCCTGTATGTTTTGCTCCCCCCCCATCCTTGATTCCCTATCTCTTACCCTCTACCATCTCCCACTCTCTTCCCACACTGTCTCTGGTATCTGTTTACTTTTTATACTGTTCCTCCCTCCCTCCCCATTTTATTGAGTTACTGAAGCTCTTAATTAATCTAAATATTTTCATAGCAAACACAGCTGATATATACATTTCCATGAACACAAGTCTAACTTTAGGCATCCTATAAAGTAGCAACTAGCTGGGGCTATATATCTTACTGTGATCATTGAATAGATTTTTTTCTGAAACTTTTTTTTGGTAACTTAATTTACATTCTTTCCTGGATCTTTGAGTGCCTTTTTAGGTTTGGAAAGTTTTCTTGCAGGATTTCATGGAATAGATTATCAAGGCCCTTATGGGTCTCTTCACCTTCTGGGATGCCAGAAGCAACTCACAATCCCCATTTCTCAGAGTAAAATGATTCAGAACCTGTAAGAACTCACCCAGAGCTGAGGATGGGTAGCTGTGAGTCATAGCCATTGACTTCTGGAACTGCCTGGGCTGAAGCTCTCACAGGAACAAAATCCTTGGGGCCATGAACTAATGCATAGCAGAGGATGCATACCTGTTGTTTGCCCCATGCTATCTTTTGAGTGGAGTCAGTCTCTGCAGTTGTTCTGTAAAGTTGCTTACCAGAAACTTAGGGTTAGTTTCTCCTTGTTTAGTTTTACCACTTGCCTTGTATATTAGTGTCCTAGGGCTGCCTTAATGAATCACCACAAACTTGGTGGCTTGAAATAACAGAAATTTATTCTGTCACACTTTAGGAGACTGGAAGTCTGAAATCAAGGAGCTGGTAGGTCCTTGCTCCTCCAGAGTCTCCAGGAGAGAATCCTTGCCTCTTCTGGCTTCTGTCGCCTCCTGGCATTATTTTGCTCCTTACAGCAGCACAACTCCAATCTCTGGCCTTCTTCATGTCATTTCCTGTGTGTTCCCATGCCTTTTCTTCTTCTAAGGACACCTGTCGCTGGATTTAGGTAGTCCCTGAATCCAGTATAAATTTAATCTCAGGGTCTTTAGCTAGTTATATCTGCAATGACCTTATTTCCAATAAGGTCCCATTCTGAGATTCTGGGTGGACATAAAATTTGGAGGTTGCAATTTTCTAATGTTAAAGTTTATTCATTACGAACTACACTGTGACTACCTCTACATACCAATTAATATAGTAAAGTTCTAATCCCTGGTACTTCAGAATGTGACAATATTTGGAAAGGTCTTTGAAGAGGTAATTAAAGCAAAAGGACTGTACAGTGAGTCTTAATCCAATATCACTGGTGCTCTTAGAACTGAAGGAAATTTGGACACAGAGATACAGAGGGCAAGCAATATGAAGGCACTGTGGGGTGAAGACAGTCACTCACAAGTGGGGGAGAGAGGCCTCAGAAAAAACAACCCTATCAATACCTTGATCTCAGACTTCCAACCGTCAGAAATGTGAGAAAACGGATTTGTGTTGTTTAAGCCTCTCAGCCCGTGATACTTTATGACCGCCATAGCTAAATGAATACACTCTTCAACCAATTATACCATTTAAAAGGTTATAAGGACCAAAATAAATCTAAGAGCCTTTTTCTTATCAGAAGTAATTGACAGTGTTTTCTAGGAATCTGCTTACTCAGTGAAACCATTTGTTAGTAGATTACATGAACTCTATAATGAATGGATTTCCTTTTTCATAGGCAACGCTATTGGGACACTAACTGCCAAAGACTTGGATGAAGAAAACACCAAGAACAGTTTTTTAGAGTACAGGATTGTGGATCAGACCCCCAAAATTCCCAAAGATGGACTCTTCCTGGTCCAAATCTATGATGGAAAGTTCCAGTTAGCTAAACAGTCTTTGAAGAAACAAGATGCTCCTCAGTACAACTTAACAGTAGAGGTGTCTGACACAGGTTAGTATCACATCCATAGATGTGAGTACAAATAATTTTTTTCTAGTCATGATTTGTAAGGCTGTATCAATAACTGGATATATTGCAGAATGATGCCATTTACACATTCCTTGATTCCTTTGTGAAACACACACAACACAGAAGCAGTTGGGTCAGTGTTGTAAAGGCCAGAATTACAGCTCAGACAACCAACATTGGTGTGCTGGTTTGATCTTCCAGGAAGCAGATGACAAGAGGGGATGAAATGTGTAAGAGTTTTGGCAGGAGGATGCCAGTAAGAAATAAATTGGAAGGGACACAGAGAAGGCTGGGAGTGCCGTAAGACCACAAAACAAGCGTGACTGCAAGTGAAGGAGAGAAGGAAGATCGGTGTGGGACTATCCTAGACCACTGAACAGCCTAAGGGAAGTTCAGCAAGCCATCTGGGAGTCCAAACTCAGTTGTCAAAGGAGTCCATTGTCTCTGAGGAAGAGCCTGCCTTAGCATCATTGCCATGCTCAGTCACTAGCTGCAAGCAGCAAGAAGGAGCTCGGTGAAAATGTAGTAATGGATCTCAGAGCACAGCAATGGGGCCATCATCAGTTCGTGTCCTGGTTGTTAACAGGTCTGCCAGGCACATTCTGTGGCCATGGTCATGAACAGGAAAACTATATTTCCCAATTCTTGATTTTGGGGTTCAAACGGCTCTACTGCTTGAAAATGGAGAAGAAATACATCTTTGGGGGGAGTTCTGCTTTTTTCCTTTCAGCTTCTAGTTGGCCATTTGACAATTAGGAGAAACTTTCTCCCTTTTCCTTAGATCATTTCAGAGCAAGTAGTTCTTTTTTAAAAAAATTATTTATATTTAATCATGTCTTTACAGTATAAATTTTTTTCCAACACAAATACCATGCTTGCCAGTTAAGACAAAGATATTACTATATATGTTATCATCAGCAAATAGCTTCTCATATTTTGTCAATTAAGCCTACTTTTATCAGTTTTTCCTTCCCTTTTCCCCTCCCTGCCTTCCATACTAAACTTTTTTTCACATTTTCTTGATTCACAGAAGATCTTTTTATTTATTCTTTTTTATTTCATTTTCTTTTATACATTTAATCACATTATTTAGTTTACAAAGTGAACATTTCAACATGTGAACATTGGTTCTTAATCTCTCTTGGGTCATAAGACCCTTTGAAAGCTGATGAAAACTATATATTCTCAATTAAATGCATATATCCTTAGCCAAATGTGTAGAGACACACAAAAATATACTCATCTCAGGGGCACTCAGACTCCTAGAAGTTAAGAATATTTCTTTAACTAGTATGGAGTCTTAGATTACCAAAGGCTTCAATAATTATTATACTAGGAGGCACAGATTATATAGGTGTGGAGAAGAAAAGAGCATTGACTCACACTATCCTTCACATTTCTCTTCTTTACATGAATGTCTATGCACTGGGGAAAACTAGAATAGGAATCCCATGTACAAACAGTTCGAAGCTATAAGAGGGTACATGGGAATCAGATTACAACTTTCTTATATACATGCATATACCTATAGAAAATATAGACTATGGGGAACCAGCAGTTAGCGTAATGGCTATGTCGTTGGACTCCCATGTAGTCGACCACTGTTCGTGTCCCGGACCCGGTGGCTTAAAACTCACGCCGGGCGCATGTGCGTGCGTACCCAAGATCCCGAGAGGAGAATGGAAGAGAAGGGATTGCGGTGTGACTATCCCCCCTGGGGGGGTGATTTCTCGCTTTCTGTCTCTATGTCTCTGTCTGTCTGGCGAGCACACGTGCCCTATAGTGAAAACCTCTCCCCCCCAAAAAAATATATGTATATATAGACTAGATTATGAGCATATTTTTATATAAATACACACATATTGATATAATTAAACAATCTTGTACTGCAGAAAATTAGAGACTATACTATAATTACTATAGTTTTACATAAAATCAGGAGGATCTGTTACCCAGGAGAAACCATTGTTGATCCAAATAAAATTTGTGTGGAGCAGTGAGCCAGTGAGTTCAGGGCTTGGGACCACCCCAATCTTTAGCCCTTCTTGTTGTCTCCAACTGTTCTAGGGATCAGCCCTTAACTTCATTCAATCCCTACTTGCTTGCTGTTAAATTGTTATTAGGTTAGGTGCCTGGTAGCATGTTTAGAGCATTGAGCACAACCTCAAGTTTGTGTTATATCCTGGGTATATTAGTCAGGATCCCAGTAGGAAATGATGAGTCCTCAAAAGAGCAACCAAAAAGGATTTAAAGAAAGGATAATTTGTTAAGATTATGGGCAGAATTATGGGAAAACAACAGGAAGTGTGAGGCATGGTGAGTAGTAACCTTTAGGACTCTAAAGCCCAAAGGGTGTGGGAAGGGATCAGTCCCAAAAGGAGTAAGACCTGTGCTTATTTATACCTGTGGAAGAGTGACACCCAACCACTATTCTCCAGTCTTCTGCCAGGGTTCCCATTGGCAAAACTCAGCTGTTACCAAGAGGCCAAGGCCATCCATTGACAAGGTTCACAGGCCAGCTCTCTGGGCAGAGAGCAGGATGGAGAGTGAACAGTAGGTGTAGAAGGCAGAGGGAGCACCTAAATTTGGATCCTGGTTCCACTTCTAGTTAATTGTGTGACATCGATCAGGTTCTCTAACGTCTCTCTCTCTCATGGCTTCTTCAATTGTTAAATAAATGGAACTAGTAACAGTGCCTACATCACAAAATTATTGTAAAGATATAGTGAGTCATGCAGTAAATCTTAATACAGTGCCTGGTGCATAGAGATGGCTAACAATTTGTATTATGAGGAGAACCTCAATTCTATTATTATCCATATTTTGTAGATAAACTGATTGAGGCAGAGACATTGAGTGGCATACCCAAGCTCTCACACATCTGATAAATGGCACAGCAAGAATCTGAATAGTGGGATTTCAGAACCCCATTAGCCATTAGATAATATGTCATGTTGTGGTTAGAATGATGACAATCCCAACAAAGAGCCTGTCATTTTGTTTCTTATTCTGGTTTTCTCCCCAGGCATGGCACCTATAATTCATGCTCATCTTGGATCTAGGTTGAATTGGCTGTCTCTGACTAGGTCTTCAAATTGTCAAACCTGCCCCTGAAAGCCTGTACCAATTTTCCGGGATTCTATTAGATGCCACTGTCCTGCCTTGTTTCATTCAAGCTGGGAAGCCAGAATCTTTAGAGGAGGCTAATTGTGCCTTGAAAAGGAAGGAGCAGTTGTTCCTGAATCTCTCCACTAGAGAAGGCTTAGCAGATGTGAGGTGAATGTATTCAGAGAAGCAAAGGTGTAGCTACCACGATGCTCAGGAAGCTTTCTGAAAGGATAGTTTTGCACTAAACTTTGAAGACTATGTAAGTGTCACTAGTCAGAAAAAGAGAGGTTGCTTCATTTAAAAAAAGAAGGATCTGTCCTGCTCAGGAATTTGACTTACCTAGGATGGTGGCTGGTGGCTGGTGGCTGGTGGAGAGCAATGAAAGATCAGAGAAAATTCTTTCAGGTTTTTCTTCACTTTCTCCCCCCATCCAGCCTTGGTTCAGGCTTGGAGCAAAGAACCCTCACTGCACAAAAATTGCATGTAAATGTTGAAATTATGACTATGGCTATCATATCACTTGTCAATTTTCTCTTTGTAGGTTTCTAAATTTAATGCATAATTTTCAATGAAAATTTCTGTGATGTGACTTTGGTTTTCAGATTTCAAGACCCTCTGTTTTGTGCAAATCAACGTTATTGATATCAATGATCAGATTCCCATCTTTGAAAAATCAGATGTGAGTAGTTGTCACCATGTGTTTTCTCTTCACTTTGCTCATATTCTTGACCCCTTCTTCTGGCTAAAGATACAGATCACAGTTAGGAGAAATGGCGGTCTTAACAGATAGTCTTGGTTAATGAACCAATAACAAACCCAGAAAACATCTTCAGTGGAAATCTTCAGAGAACAATAACCTTTACTGTTACAGTATCTGGGATTATCTGTTGATAAACTCCTGCCAATGGCTCATTTATTCCAAGGGCTGCTTAAGAACTACAGCCACAATCTTTGTTAACTTGAAAGGAGTTGAATGGCCACTGTGGTGTTATTGGATAATAAATAGATTACTATTAGGTCTCAAATATTTTTAGTCAAATATTTCATATTTAGAATTTGGGCAATTTAAACTCAATTTGTAATAGCTGTATAAGAGAAAAGGAGAGAAATAAAATGAATCTTTGGCTTAAACTGGAAAAAATATGCTGAAGACATTTGCAAGAATTAGGAGACTTGGGAAGAAAGGAAAAAAAGTAAATCTGAATATCCAGAAAAATGCACATTACTGTGTTTTTGTTGTTGATAAGGACTTTAGACTTGTTGATCACTTTATCATTGCTTCACTTAAAAAGAATGTCTCTATTTATTGATTTTGAAGACAAGAAGATACCATTTGACTAGACTGTTATGTCATGTGTAACGTCAGTTATAAAGCAGCCCAGAGCCCCATGATGATGTCCATAAATCAAAATGGGGACCAGGCTGTGACAAAGAAGGAAATTGATTTATGAAAGGGTTTGGGGTGGGAAGAGATGTGATGAACGTATCTTGTATAACAGACACTGAGGTTAAGCAAGCATGAAATAAAGAGCCTATTTCTTCTCTGCCTCTATTCTCTTGGGTATTTTACTCTTCCCTAGTGTTATGATTTTCCTGCATTTTCTAGACAGTGTTTTTTTAGATCAAAGGTAAGCATCACATATTGGAGGTCTCAGAGCATGGAAATTGAACCTGACTGTAGAGAGAGTGAGCCTGCTTCTTTCATTGCCATGGTCCTTTCTCGGACCCTACCTGTCACCATCTTTAAGGTCACAATGGCAAAAAACAAAACAAAACAACAACAAAAAAACACACACTGCCAAGGAAGATGATTTGGTGGATTTTCTTTTTTTTTTTTTATTTATTAATTCACTTTACACCATCACAACACACAAATGAATTTTCCATCCAAAATACACTGTGCATTGTCTCAATCACGTACATCCACATATATGTTCTCAGCAAATAATTTTCCAATTCTTATGTCCTGCATACCTTGCCCTTTGTCTTGCCATCCCTGATTCCCCATCCCCCACCCTCTGCTATGTCCCACCTTCCCCCCC